TAAGACTGTTTATTGAGTGTAGAACTCCTTGCCTGACACATGCATGATAAGGGCTAAATTAAGGTTTTGTTGAGTTAGTATATAAGTTTTTAGCCAACTTCATTTTATATACTTTCAGCTATTTCTCTATTAAAGTATGATTGTTTAATCAGCTTTATCTTGTATCCTTTGATTATTTCTCTTGAATTCAGAAAGTAGTTTTGCACTTAAACATTCTAAGAATGAAAATATGGCACAGGCAGGTAATAGACATGAGCTTTAAAATAAAACTAGGTAAGTTTATTTTATAAGCAGGCATATGTGCCTGTGGTCTGAGCTATTCAGGAAGCTAAGGTGAGAGGATCCCTTGAGCCCAGGGATTCAAGCTCATCTTGGGCAACATAGTGAGACAGTCCAAAAATAAGTAAACAAACACATAAACAAAATATCTGAGATTAATGCGCAGTTTTTTGTCGTTTAGGCTCAAACTCGTGTAAAATTGAATTTCCTGGACCAGATTGCAAAGTACTGGGAGTTACAGGGAAGTACTCTAAAAATTCCACACGTGGAGAGGAAGATCTTGGACTTGTTTCAGCTAAATAAGGTAAAGGGCTAATGAGCATCTTACTCATTTATATAATTGTGAACAGTGCATTTGGTTTTCTTTGCCTTATGAAGAAACTTGTTGTTTAAAATATATAAAGTGAAGCTGGGTGAAATGGCACACTCCTGTAATCCCAGCAACTGGGGAGGCTGAGGCAGGAGGATCCTTAGTTCAAAGCCAATCGTAGCAACTTAGCGAGGCCCTAAGCAACTCAGCAAGGTCCTGTCTCTAAATAATTGAATACAATAAAAAGGGATAGGGATGTGCCTCAGTGGTAAAACACCCCTGAGTTCAATCCCTGGTACCAAAAACAAACAAAGTAAAGTGAGATTTTTAGTTCAGTTGAGTGATAGTCTGGAAGTCTTGTGGAATATTTTGCTGCCACCCGTTTTTGTCATTTTTAAACTCACCAATAATTCTGTAAACTATTTCTTTCCATTTTAGTACAGACAGATAAACTGAAGCTCATGGGGATTTAAAAAACAAACAAACAAAAAGACCCAGCTAAAATGGCTGAGCTCATAGTTAAATTCCAGGTCCCACTTTAATCTAAAGCCTGCATTCTTTCCACCAAACATTATTTCAGCCTTTCTGTCCCTTAGTTTTTGGAGATTTTAAGGGTCACAGAGTAGGACCAAGTACCTAGGGCCTTTTCTTTAGTAGAGATTTGATTATGATTCTTTTAAGATGACTGCTTTGGGGAAGCGAGAAGTCATTTTGGGAGGGACAAAATGTTTATGAACATGTTGTTAAAAGAAATGTTTTAATTGTCTAGCTTGAAATTAACAGCACATGCATTTTTTCTTTTGACTTAGGAAAAGTATTTTTAAAATATAACCATAGCCAAGAACATTTTGTTCTTGGAGTCTACCTAGGCATGATTTCCACATAAGTGTTTCTAACTTTTGCTATTTTAACAGTTAGTTGCAGAAGAAGGTGGATTTGCAGTTGTTTGCAAGGATAGAAAATGGACCAAAATTGCCACCAAGATGGGTTTTGCTCCTGGCAAAGCTGTGGGTTCACATATCAGAGGGCATTATGAACGAATTCTCAACCCTTACAATTTATTCCTGTCTGGAGACAGTCTGAGGGTGAGTTTTGGGGCTCGCCACAAACCTGTTTCATTCACTGCTTGTTGGTACATTATGTTTTAGGGGGAATGAAAAAGCCTCAGTTGTGTTTGAATGACACTGTTCAGAAGACCTTGGTTTTTGGCTGTTTTCTCCAGTGTTGTTATTCTGTTTTGAGAGCAACCATACTTAGACATTTGTTTTTAGAATGAGTAAGATTATAGAGGACATGTCGTTTTACTGTCAAAAACTGAAATCTGTATTTACTCCACAACAGGTGTTTCTTTACAGCAAGAAGTTAATTATTGTATACTTGTTAGGCTTATACTTTTGCATTTGCTTGCTATTTAAAGCATCCCTGGTTCCCATATTATGAAAGTATAACTTGGAAAATAATTTATTCGTTCTTTTTTGCCAGCAGAGATTCCCAAGGAAATGGTCATGTAGAATGCTTATATTTGTAAAGGAGAAGGAACTTAAAAATACTGCATAGCTTCAGGGTGTGTGGTGGGATTACAAACCTGTAATCCAGTTAATGGGAGGCTGAAGGAGGAAGAATACAAAATTTAGGACCACCTAGGCAATTTAGTGATGCCCTATCTCAAAATCAAATTTAAAAAAAAGGGTGAGAATGTAGCTCAGTGGTAGAAGATTCGCCTAGCATATGCCATTCCCGGTTCAATCCCCTGTACCACACACCTCAAAACAAAACCAAAAAACCCCAAAAGCTTTGAAGCTAATGGGTTCCTTTTTTAGTAGTTATTACCTAACCATGTTTGTTTCCATACAGAAATGGTATTTGTGAATTTACTCTTGTTCTCATTAATTAAGGTAAAACAATATTGTAGAAACTTCCCACCTATTTCAAGGTTCTGGCAAAAAGTGTGTCATAATTCATTTACATCCTTTGAGTTATTCTAAGACTAGAGCAGTGAGCCCTATAATTTTAAAAGTTGTTTCTATGTTATAGAAAGGTAGATAATAACATGGTTTCTGAGGGCAAACCAGTAATCAAAACCCTGTTCTAATATTATAATCTAGTACCATTTGTAATGCTTAAATCCTATAGATTTTCTTCCCTTTCTTCTTTCTTGATTTCAAGTAAATTTTCTTTTTAGCCTAGAAGAAAGTGACCAATCTGATATTCAGAAAGCTATGTGTCTATTTTTGTTACTGGGATCTGAACCCAAGGGTGCTTTTATCACTAAGCTACATACCTACCCTACCACCCGCCCCCACCTTTTTTTCTTTACTTTTTTTTTCAATTTTGAGGCAGGGTCTTTTTGTTAAGTTGCTGAGGCTGACTTCAAACTTGATCCTCCTGCCTCAGCCTTCTGTGTAGCTGGAATTACAGGCATGTGCCACCATGCCCAGCTGTTTTAATGTATATTACATGAGTGGTTAGTGAGTCCATGGATGAAATTAAAAACAATTATTGAATTTGGAACTTTTATGGTTCTGTTGACCTAGATAGAGTTGTCCATATAGATTTTCTCTTTTTGAATCTGAAGTGTGGAGGTTACAGTGAATCAGGGGAGAGAAAGTTCCTGCTTTAAAGTTCCAACATTTTAGAAATATGTCATCTGTATACTTAGGCAGTGGAGTTTTGTTGTTTAAAAAGCATTTAAAAACACAGGGAAGTATCATGAAAATAAATTGCCCCTAATCCTTGTTATTTCTCTTGGCTGTTTTTATGCATGTATATACAAATTGGCAATGGGTTCTTCCTATACAATATTGTTATCCTGTCTTTCCGACTTAACGTATCATGAGCATCTGCTATGTCATTGAATGTTTTTAAAAACACAGTTTTGAATGATCGTGGCTTTCCATTTTATATCCAGGTCTTGATTTAATTTCTCCTACTATTGAAAGTTTATATTGGTCCCCCTTTTTGGGGGGGGGGGCGTGGACAGGGAATGGGGATTCTGGGATTGAACCTAGGGTCTCACACATGATGAACAGGAGCCATACCACTGAGCTACACCTCTAGCCCCTATACTCATTTCTCATTGTCAAAATTTGTTTTTATGGTAAAGGAGAATTAGAAAATAAAGAGTTTTTAAAAAGAAGTGCACATAATGAAGGATTTATTGCAAATTTATTGCCTAAATTTGGAGAAACTTGAGTAAAGTTGATCAGTGATATATGGGCATTATAGAACACAGGTCTCCATCTTGCATCATCATGTTTTTTAAATGTCCTAAGGGATCACTCTGGGATGATGTGCTTATGGTGTGATGCTATTAATCATCTGTAAATTTCTGTTTCTCAAGTAAAGGTTAAAATTAGTGTTTGTGATAGCATTAGATATAAAACCAAGGCTTCAGGTGTGTTTAAATTATGGTTCGGAACAAAATAATGAAGCTCTTCATGTATATTCTAAAAAGCTGCTAAGCTTGAATATATAGAGTCCCTATAGAACTGAACTGATCATAGATAATAGAAATCATTGAAATAAATATGGTCTGAATATTTAGTATCTGAATTTCTGACCATCCTTACAGTAATTAGTATTTCCCAACTTTGGTGTCTCAAGTAGAGAGTTCATAGAACACATAAATGGGTTAATTTATGTGATGGGCAAGTTTATTCTTCTCTCTTTGCTTTCTTTAAATGTGCTCCAGATGCTCAATAGAAGACTTGTTATAGAATGGTAGATATTATTTCATAACAATTTTTTTTAAAAACTCAGGTTCTCTCACTTATTACTGGTATTTTATTCATAAGTTTTTCAGACTAATTATAATATTAATGATATAATAATTGACTTTTCCAAATAAAATCACTTAGAAAGAACAAAATATTTAGTATTGATATGTTGTTGTGCCTTTGGTATGTTCCTTACTTGATATTAAGTAATCACTTGATGTTCTGTTTTATATGTTATATTTCTTAAACATTAGAAAATAGACTGATAATTTGTTTCTCTATGGTTTCTTTTGTTTCTTCTCCCCACAGCGTCTCTATTTTCTCTGCAAATGTAAAGGAAAAGGAGCTAAACTTATAAATAAGACTATATGGTAGTAGTGGTGCCCATAATGCCAATAATTCTGGAATTTTGTTATTTTGGTACCTATCATACCAAATACAAATGATATAAAACATCTAGATGGTTACATTTTTGAACATTTTGCAGGGGGTGTTGCACAGCTGGTATAGGGTATTGAAAGCAGGGGAACTTTACCACTGAGCTACAATCTCGGCCCTTTTTATTTTCTATTTTGAGATGGGTCTCACTAAGGTACTGAGGCTGTCCTGAAATTTTTGATCCTTCTGAGTTGCTGGGATTATAAATGTGCATTCTGTGCCTAGCTGGAACTCACTTTAAAAAAATGCTTGGCATGATCCTTCGGTTCATAAGCGTCACGATTGGGTGTTCATGCTCCTGTGTGAGATGTGCCTCCCTCTAAACCTTGTTACGACATGGCATATTACCTGTCTGGCGTGAAAAAAAAAAAAAATGCTTTGCATGCAAGGTAGGATGGTGCACACCTATAATCCCAGCAACTCTGGGCCTCTGGCAGGAGGATCTAAAGTTGCAGGCTACCCTCAGCAACTTAAAACAGTAAGGCCCTAAGCAACCTAGTGAGACCCTGTCTCAAAATAAAATAAAAGGACTGTGGATGTAGCTTAATGATAAAGTATCCTGGGTTTAATCTCCTCTATCTCCACCTCCCGAAAGCTTAAGATGTTTGTGGATTCTCTGTGGAATGGAAGTGCTAACTTAAAATTCATATTAGCTTCAGTGGTGATACTTTGTTGTGTTATGCTGTATTGGCATTAAATACCATCTTTTAGCCAGCTTAGAATTAAACTAAAGGAGAAAGTGAATAAGTAGAGACTTGTATGATGAGCCAGTTATTGCTTTGAGCTACTGATTAATCTTTGCTTTGTGAGTTAGACTTTGTTGGAGATATGCAAACCTTGGAATGCTTGTCACATGTCCTGTTTTCTCAATTCAGGTGGTATATTTTGGTGACAGCATTGCTTAGTTATTTCTAAAACTACAAGATGGTAAAATTGTAAAAAAACCTATTGGATTCCCCTTTTTATTACTCCAAACACTTTTTGAAAAATAAGATAGTCTTAATGTAGGAAATTATTTTTGGAACATATTAGGGGTCTTTTTAACAACTTGTCTTCAATTAATTGACAGTTGCCAGCAAGGGAAATTGCAAATGGCTCTTTGGGAGTGTCTGGAACCTGCTGTGATTTCCTGTGACTTAATGAGATCAATGAAATAAATTGAAGAAACCAAATTCAGTTGTTTAAAAAAGTTTAAGCTGTTGTACTTATTTCATGTGTGTATATTATTAGTTGTTAGTTTTTTAAAACATATAGACTTGTCTTTGTATTTAGATTTTAAAAAATAGACCTGTATGTTATCCACATAAATAATTGTACCATGTAAAAATACATCAAAACAAGATTAAAACAAAGAAGGGAGATTCATTAATGCAATTTATTTTATGTTTAGTGTCTACAGAAGCCCAACCTGACCACAGACACAAAGGACAAGGAGTACAAACCCCATGATATTCCCCAGAGGCAGTCTGTGCAGCCCTCAGAAACCTGTCCCCCAGCCCGAAGAGCAAAACGCATGAGAGCTGAGGTGAGAGCTTCACCAGGTCCATTAGCAGGCATTGTGGAGGTGTGGTGCTACGGCTGTCCAACAACTGTACCTATGCTTTTTATAGTTTTGAACCTTTTTCGTCTCACACAAGGAGGCTTTGTGTTTTCCAGCATTTACACTTGTGGGGTGGGGGTGGTGGGAACTGTGCCAGCAAAGGGATAAGAAATTGAAGAGCTTTTTCTGGGCTTATGTTGCCTGGATAGCTGCTGAGTTGTAACTAAAAAGAAATAATAAAATAAAATAATAAAATAAAACTGATAAAAGAAATAATAAAATAACTGAGACACATGTCCTAGGATATGGATGCCTACATCTTACCTCAGTGACACCTAATGGTAATGATATCACCTGTGGAAGAAAATCTCTTACTTATGGACATCCTTAATATACCTGAATGAACAAGGGCAAAGTGATATAGTTTCAGAAACACTACTTGGTTAACAGATCACAAAAATAATTTTGTTTTTTTTTTTTCCCTCAAAAATATCAGTACTGGGGCTGGGGATGTGGCTCAAGCGGTAGTGCGCTCGCCTGGCATGCGTGCGGCCCAGGTTCGATCCTCAGCACCACATACAAACAAAGATGTGTCCGCCGAATACTAAAAAATAAATATTAAAATTCTCTCTCTCACTCTCTCTTTAAAAAAAAAAAAAATCAGTACTGGGCTGGGGATATAGTTCAGTTGGTAAGAGTTGCTTGCTTTGCATGCACAAGGCCCTCAGTTCTAATCCCCAGCACCACAAAAAGAAACAAACAACAACAACAACAAAACCCAATAAATATTAGTACTTTGAGAAACAATAGAAACCAAGACTGGCTTATATACCCTCAATGAGAAGGAAGTCCTTAATAGTTTATTGATGTTAAAAGTATAGTTTATAATGATGGTTTGTAAAAAGAATTGAAGAAAATTTTAGAAGCTGAATTTTCTGTGAATACTGGTAGCCCTTGGAAAGAAGTCAACAAAAATAAATAAGCTTCCAGGAGGAAAATAAGAGTTGTTTCCAATTTGAGTCGTAATATTTCCCATAATTTGTTCCTGATTTTTCGTTGTTATTTTTGGTGGAGAAAGGGCCTGTTTTGTTTTTGTTTTTTTTTTAACATAAAATAGTGGAGAATACTCTGCTAACTTCTAAGTTTCTCATTCATACCTTAAGTAAGAGTTGTTTCAGGGCTGGGATTGTGGCTTAGTGGTAGAGCACTCACCTAGCATGAGTGAGGCACTGGGTTCAATCCTCAGCACCACATAAAGATAAATAAAAGTATTGTGTCCATCTACAACTAAAAAACATTAAAAAAAAGAGTTGTTTTAAAGATGAGGTGGTCTCTAAGGGAAGAGAGAAGTGTGTTTTGAATTCCTGATTAACAGATATAGTTTGTAAGATTATATAAACCTGTACAGTTTATATTCTTTAAAGATTTCTTTCTTTTTAAAGAAAGTATTCATGTATATGATAATTTCTTTTAGGCCATGAATATTAAAGTAGAACCAGAAGAGATAACAGAAGCCAGAACTCATAATCTGAGACGTCGAATGGGTTGTCCAACTCTAAAATGTGAAAATGGTAAGAAAGTTTATTCATGAATAAGAAAGAAAACATAGCTGGGTATGGTGTATTCCCAGCTACTTAGGATGTTGAGGCAGGAGGATTACAAGTTTGAGACCAGCCTGTGCAACATAGTGAGACCTGTCTCAAAATAAAAAAAAATTGCCTGGGATGTAGCTCAGTGCTTAACCTAGATTTGGAAGCTCTGGGTTCAATCCCCAATATAAAAAAAGAAGGAAGAAGGAGGTGATGGGGTGAACAAGGAAGCAGAGAACGGCATAATACAGAAAGATCTAACTTTGGATTGCCTCCCACAGACAAAGAAATGAAAAGTAACATCAAGCAAGAACTCACTGAGAAGAAAGATTTTATTGTAGAAAGTGAGAAGGAAAAGCCCAAGAGTCGATCTAAAAAATCTACCAATGCTGTGAGTTGATTTCTTCCTTTCTCTTTTCCCCCATTTCTTCTTTTCTCCTTTCATTTCTTCCTTTTGAGTCTCTTTACCCTGAAGCTTATACTTTTGTGCTGTACTTAGGTTAGGTTAACTTACTGCCTGACAATGAAAAGATCTTTTTGAGTCAGTTTATACTATCAGTTTATAAATGCAGAAATACATGAGAACCTTATAAAGACAGTGTAGTAATATGGGGAGGTGGTAGGGGCAGCTGTTTTTCTAGAGTACATTCTGTTTAGCACTGAATAGTAAACGAGCTGTATCATATATTGAATCACGAACCCACCTTCAAATGAGCTGAAGGCTATGTCAAAAATCAGTTTGGTGTTTTCCAACTTTCCATCTAGCAAGGGAAAGGAACAGAAAAAAGAAATGAAATATAAAACAGAGAAAGGAAGGAAAGAAGAAGAAAGGAGCCTAGGGATTAGTGGGTAAGGACATGGCAGAGATGGGGAGCTGTTTACTCTGTTAGACACTTTTGTTTAAAGTGAAACTAGAGTGTTAGGCTCTGGTTGCCCTCTTTCCTGCTCCCAAACCAGTAAATATACCTCACCACTGGGTATTTTGGGGGAACTTTTAAACACTGACCCTTACTTAATTAGAATTTGAAGTGATAGTTTAATGTAGTTAATTAACTTTAAAACTTCTCTCCTTTTAAATATGGCAAAATTGAATTTTTCCTTCATAAATTCTACTTTTGGTTAGCTGGTAATTATTACCTAGCACCTTATTCTTCTAGAAGACTCCTTTTTCTTTTAAGGTTGGGTCATAAGCTTTTTAAAAAATACTTGTTTTAATTGTGTATAAACACAGTGCCTTTATTTATTTATTTTTTATGTGGTGCTGAGGATAGAACCCAGTGCCGCACAGGGGCTAGGCAAGCACTCTACCACCAAGCCACAACCCTACCCCTGAAAGAATTATTTTTAAACTACCAAAAGGTAGCAATGTAAATATAGGACAATTGAGAAAAAATATTCAGAAACTTGGGAGATCACATTTTGGAACTGAGGTTGCATGAAGTATTATGAAATACCTTTTATAGAAAATGAAGGATTTTTTTTAATTTTAAATATCTCTTATAGAAGTTGTACAACTGGAAGCAGGCTGGAAAGACTACATACATGTCTTAGATCCATTTCATTCTTACAATTTCACTAAATCAAGTAATAGCTCATTCTGCTTTGTTCTACCCTCTTTTTCATTGATGCAGGTGGACCTGTATGTCTGCCTCTTGTGTGGCAGTGGCAATGATGAGGACCGGCTTCTCTTATGTGATGGCTGTGATGACAGTTACCATACCTTTTGCTTGATTCCACCACTCCATGATGTTCCCAAGGGAGACTGGAGGTGTCCTAAGTGTTTGGCTCAGGTAAAAATTAAAGACAGTGGTAGCATTAGAAAATTTCTTCTGGCGTACTTTTTCTTTGCCTGGGGGTTTAGATTTGGCAGTGGATAATAGTGAAGTCCAGGAAGAAAATTGGATTGACCCTGAATAGGATAGAAGTCTTAGTAAATTCCACAGTGTGGCTGAGAGGGGGGTGGAAAAAAGTAAAAAAATGTAAGATATAATTACATTGCTTTTAAAAAAAATCTCATTGTAAAAAGCACTGTATATTCTTAGCAAAAATTCTTGAAACACTGAACAACTGAAAATAGAGATAGTTCACAGTGCATAGATAACCATCATATCAGTGTATATTCATCCAGACTCTCTTCTATTTTTAAACAAACGAAATTACATTACATAAGCAATTTTAGTGATCTACTTTTAAAGTATTTTTGTGTAGTTACTGATACTTGCCATCACT